ATTGACCTTTACTCCCCAGCGGATTACTGTTACATGCTGTAAATGGCAGGAAGTCCATTTTGTTCTTCAGTGTTGTACTCGGCTTTCTATGTGCTGAAAGTGTAACTGGAGGCAGACCACTTCAGATTTACCTTGTAAAGCTTATGTGCATGCAATTTGTCAGTATATCCTTTTCTGTGCATTAAAGGCTGATTCTCTGATTCTTCTGCTTTAGAGGAATGGGTTAGGGCACACTTTTTTTTGGTATCATCAGAACTTTGTATTTTCTTGCTTTACTTTCAATCATGTTGTTCCTAAGATATATTCTTCATAATCTAATGACAGATGTGATTCTCAAAATTGGGTAGAAATAACTAAAGTAAATAAAAATGTAATGATTGAATATCACTGCTTCTTAAAGACAGGCTTATATAGAGTGCTTTCAAGTACTGATCTAGAAAGTGCGAAAGTGCAGTTGGCAAGAAAGAATAACAGTCTTCTGATAATACAAGGACATTTTTAGCTGGACATAGTTTTGTAAAGGTAGGCCTGGACAGATTTGACATATTTCAGAACTAATAACAGAGTAGTTGTCACAATACAACTGATTGCTAAAAATGAGTTGTGAGATTTAGTTTTTACTTTGGATCACCATGGATGCTATAGCTGAAGTCACTGCTGGGACATGTATGGTACACACTGATTGGAGCAAAACCAAATTTATTACTGAAATCTCTGAGGCTGAAAGGTGATTAATTCTTCTCAGAGAAAGATTACATTCTTCACTTAGAAGTGAGCGTGGTGGCTCCCATAGGCTAGGGCTTCCAGCATTAGTGATTAAAATACACATACATGTTAGGTGTCATGAGAAAAATACAGTTAGAGTTTGGATACTTGTATTATACTTCCTTATTTTCGTTCCAGTGAAAAAAATCTGTACTTGTTTAAGAAATCATGCTGATTTCAGTATATCTTGTGTTTTGGAAAGTACAGTCTGTCAAAATGCAAAATGATCTGGAGGAGACTAGAAAGAAGTAGTAGAAGAAAACCCTTCAATGCTTTTTAACAATACAAAAGGAAAAAACCACTACAATTGTATATATAAGCTCTTAACTGCTTAGTAAAATGACTTATTTAAATTAATATTATATTTAGTAACTAGTGTGGCCGATTTGTTCTTTGTCATTATGTTAAGAATTCACTTTATCAAGAGACAAACTTAAGTAGAAACACTTGAGTTTGGCAATGGTTAGGTCAAAACATTTAAGTCCTTAATTATATGAATTGGAGGCAAAAAAAATACGAATAAAAAAAATCAGTTGGCTTCACTTAATTTTACAAAATGCAGCTGAATTCCTTCATGTTAATTTCTAATGATACTTCAGAAAGGAGGGTAGCACTTCAGTCAGGGGTCTGACAAGCTTGTCGTTTGCAAATAAATCAAAAGACAATCATTACAACAGCAAGAACCAGTGAGTGATGTAGTTTTGTCATTCTTTGATGGGCCTCACACTCAAGTCCTCTATTAAAAATGAATGTATTCAAGAGGCTCTGCATTAAGAACACAAACAATTAAGGGTACTTCAGATGCTTTGCTAAGAGCTGCCGTAGAGCTAGGAGAGCTTTCGTGAGTGATGCAGGCTTCTACAGTCTGCTTTACCAAGGAGCCAAAGAACATGAGGAATTGGTCGTGTTTGCAGCTTTCGGCAAAATTGTGTTTATTCATTCTTCTGACTGCCCTACATATCTCAAGATCAGCAGTTCGATAATAACAGTGTTGTATTGGGAGGCCTCTAGAAGTAATTGATAAGTACCTGTCTCTTCAGACTTTCAAATGTATGAGCCTCTGATCTAGAATATATAGTTTACCCTAATGCCACTAATTACTGGTGTCTGGTTTTGATTAACAAAGCTCTCCTAGACTCTTTCAAAAAAAAGTTTCTGCTTTCAGGAATAAATATATATATATGCACACATACTCAAGATATTTTACGCTCAAAGGTGAACATGTATTACTCTTTGAATGACGTAGATGGAGATTTTAAGTAATGAAAGTAGCTTTTTCTCAGTTCAGAAGACAACCTCTTACAGCTCCTGATGGACAAGATTAGGTAGTTGTGCATTAAAATCTAACTTCTGCAACTCACTAGAGAAGAAAAATATTTTTTTAACTTGTTTGTGAATAAGAATAGTTTTAACTAAACGTCTGAGGGCAGCAAACAGGAGATGTATGAGGTCTCACAATGGATAAATAATTAATAAATAAAAGTACTTTATTCGTTTGTTGAAAATAGAGGTAGTAGGCAAACTGCTTTTTAAAATGTAAGTTGACTTCTGTTACCAGGAGTAGAACAGTATTTTCAGTTTTATTTCTGTGTAAATGTCTCAACTGGCACATGTAACAGTAGCAAGAAATCTCAAAATAAACCTGTGTGCCATAAATAAGGTGAAGTTTACTTAGCACTGTGGATGAATATAAAGTATGCTTTTTATATATGATCAACAGTGTGCCCTCCTTTGGTAAAGAACACATTTTTTTCAGTTCCATTATTGTTATGTATGATAGTAGCAAGAATATAATTTTAAAGTAAGATTGACCGGGAAAGGAGGGACAGTTGATATGCCCCATTTTTTTTTTTTTTTCGTTTTTTTGGTCAACCTGAGTTTGGATTGGTAGTTTTCTCATGATGATACATTCTCTTGTCATACTGTGTGCAGTCCTGTATGCTATGTTATTACAGTGACGCTCAGATATTTGGGACTTGTCTACATTGTTGTGTTTTCCTGTAAAACTTGTGTGTTTTATATAGACTCAAAAAAAATTTTTTTTGAGCTGCAATAAGGATACTTGTTTCAATATTATACAATAGGGAATTTTTTTTTTGTAGACTATACAGGTCAAAGAGCTTTTCAGTAGAAAGCAAATGTATATCTTCTTTTACTTTTTTTTGTTTCTTTCCCCTCTTACCACCTGTAAGATTTATCTTGTCTTCTGTCTTGAAGAAAAAAAGGTAATCTCGTTGGTCTAGGGCAGTTAACTTCTTGGACCCTCAACATCTTGACTAAATATCAGCCAATCATGATGCTATGTAACAGACTTCCTTTCCTTATCTGACATGCCTTGCTTTCTGAACAGCCATACTAGGTGTGTGGAAAAAATGCCTGTTAGTACATAAAGTCTCACAAATGTGTGTGGTTTTTTTGTTTTCGTTAGTAGACACTGAAATTACTAACAGATTTGGTAATAGTCAAGTCTGATAACTGATAATATTTGGGCTGGTGACCTCCTTGTATTGCCTTTGCTGATATGTATGTACAGAAGACCACAGGCAAAGGTAGATATTGTATGGTCGTGGCCCAGATGGAAACGGATGGCTGTGATAATGTGTGACATGGCAGCTGTTTCTGTTAAAGGTAGAGATCTGTTCCCCTTGGTTAGGGGGAGAAAGGTTTGCTGTAAAGCAACTGCCTTGACTTTATTGAAGCAGGAACCTTTTTGTCTTAGGAAGAAACCACCCCAGAACTGCTTTAGAGACTCTTGTCTCCCCGAAACTTCAGTGCAGATGTGTCAAATACACCTTCGGTCAGGTGGTGTTTTACAGGTCCCAGTGCTATCAACTATTTTCCTTGTGTCTGTCAGAGGTGAGGAAAGAGGTGTTAAAGCTTCCCAGCTGTATTTACATCCCAAATCAGCTGTCTGCTGAAACACAAAATCAGAATGTGGCTTTTGTATCCTAATTGCTGCTTGACTGATGTGTAAGGATGAACATGTAGCAGTGTCTTTTAAGAAATTCGGGATGATGGAAAGGCTCAGCAGATGAGTTAGCAACGTTTTCACTTGACTTCTTTGAAAGGGTGTATCTGTACCTCAGGTTTATGCATGTCATTTCATGGAAGGCCTAACATTTCAACTGGGATGTCTTGTTTCTTGTTTCTTAAAACAAACAAACAAAAAGCAAGGCATGAAGTATCTACTTGGATTAATGATATGACAGACTGACAAAGGCTCTTCAGAGTGTCTTGTCTATGGGCTGTGTTCACATCTGGACACTAATTTTGATTTTGTGCAACTGTGCAACAGTGGCCTCAGGACATGTTTTTTAAGGAAAACTGTAGGAGTTGTGCAAGTACCTTAAGACTTGAAGGTTAATTAGGAGTGGTGGGCAGATGTATACCTCTGAAAAGCTGTAAGCACAGGTAAGACCAATTAATTAGAGAAAAAGATCCTTGTACCCCACCAGAAATCCTGTGTTCATGTTGACATGCCGAAAGTGGGAGATGCAGAAGTGGGAGATAAAGTTGTCCAGGTGGGACTCAAATGCTTCTTCCTGCTGTCTTCTCTGCTGCTTTCAGTGAAGGATTGCTCTGGTCTCTGCTGGTTCCTAGCATTATTGTTCTGATGTTACTCAAGGTTTGCACTAAGTTGTTGCTATTGACTATCACGTTTTCTGATGATTTTTCGGCATTATTTTAAGTCTCTCTCAATATGGAGGTTTTGCAAGTCTGTAAATCTTGTCCCTGTTCTGCCTCGCTTCTGTTTCGGTATTTCTTTTGTAGTCTTGATGGTGCGTTTCTGTCAGGAAAGCTAATTTTACCTTTTAATAAGCAGATAAAATTGATCATGAAAGAAACACTTTTCTTCCATGCCTGTCACCATCATGTTATGCTGCTTGATAATTTGACTAACAATAAATCTACCTTTTAAAAGGCTTTATCTTGGACTTAGTAGATTTAAAAAATGCTTTACTTGTTAATGAGCTATGTACAACAAGGACCAGATCTGTGCCTAAATGTGTATACAGATTAGGTTCTTTAGACATGGCAGATGTCCTAGAGTAGCTAACTAAATCTCTGCCCTCATCAGGGCTTATATATTAACTATTGTTATTAGTAGTAGTATGAAGATGTGGATTTCTTCATTACTTTCTGCACCGTGTGAATTCAATATAATCTTGTACACTAGCTGATCTATGACAGGAAACCTAAAACACATTTTTAATCAAAATACTTTTCCTCTATAGACAGAAATCGCCAAGAGATTGAATACAATTTGTGCACAAGTCATCCCATTTTTGTCTCAGGAAGTAAGTAAAACTGTTCAGCTGTTAAAGTGCAATTATGTTGCTTTTCTGTTTGCAAATTAGCTAGTTTTAAGATGTTAATTTTATCACAATACACAAGTGTAAGGAACATCTGTTTAGCTGAAGTGCTCAAACCACCTGCTAATTCGGTCTAACAGATTTGAGTCCAAACTAGTGACAATGGCTCAGCCGCATTCATTGCCTGAGAAGAGTGGGAGTCTGAAATATTACTGATGCAACAAAATGCTTTAATTTCTAATCATGGTGACTGCTTATTTGATACTCAGCTGTCAAATGTGAATCTGGTGAAATAAGCATGCTTATCTTTTCTACATAGACTCTATCAAATTTTTAATGTAAAAGGTGAGTAGTTAGCTCAGATGCAAGACACTGTTTATAAGGTTAGAAGCCTACATGTGGTCTGTATGACTGTGATTATAGCCTCTTGTGGGCAGCTGCTGTTAAGATTTTGATGCCAGTTTACAAGGAGTATTGGGAATTCTTGTTGCGTTCACTGAAGCACTTTTCCCTGTTTGAAATTTCAGTAGGCTTTGCTGTGTGGGCACAGAGTATATAAATGTTAAATCTGACACTAATGTGAAGTTGACATTATCATCATGTCAACTCAATTAGAAACTGATTATTCTTTTGGCAGAAAATTAATATTGAAGTGGCATGGGGGAAGAGGTGAGCTGGCTGCTTTCAGGGTTCTTGTTTACTTCTGAACAGGTGAGAGATAGGGCACTGTTACCTTTTACCTGCATAAGGTGTCTTGCAATAGGTAGCCTGGGCTTCTGCAGGGAAACCCAGTTCTTCAGGTGTCTATGATCCTAGTTTGATTTGGTGTGGTCAATACCTTAACACAAATTTCTCCCTGTATCCCTTCTTCTTTTAATAGCATCAGCAGCAAGTGGCCCAAGCTGTAGAACGTGCCAAACAAGTGACCATGGCTGAACTGAATGCCATCATCGGGGTACGTGGCCTTCCAGGTCTACCTCCTACAGTGTGTATAACTTGCTTTCATATCTTACTGCTTTGCTATTTTTAAAATAAGCTTAATGTTTTGATGTCTAATACTGTTTTGATGCCCAGTGGTGCTGAAGTGTTTGCCTTGCTTCAGACAGAATTCAGCAGACATGAAGTTAATAGTTTACTTTTGTTGGAACATCAAACTGTGCAGCAATGCTCTGCATAACAAAACTTTTCCTGCAAGAAGTATAATGATTAGGAGAGTTGCTTGTTTATTTGTAGGTATTGTATTTCAGTTGGTTTAGTTATCTTTGCCTCATGCTTTTTGAGACACTTGAGTTCTTGGAGCCTGTACAACTACTCATTCTTCTTTCTTTTTCCTTTCTTGTGAAACTTTCATGAATTTTAAATTAGCAAGCTACTGAAAAGAAACTTCACTTGCTTTTGAAGTAGTATTAATTGTCTCACACAGTGTTCTAATAGCCTTTCACCAAGTTTGTGCTTCTAAATATGCTGAAATAAGTTAATGCTACTTGCTTGTGAGTGGCTGTCAATCACAAGTCATTTGCTTTGGATTAATGAACTTTCTGAACCATACATTCCTTCCACTGCATGAGTTCATTTCCCCTGCCACTAAGTCTAGAATATTTCTCATGTTTTCTGCCCTTCCAGACTAAGTGAAAGAAGTAGCCGAAACAAGAAGCTGTCCTTTCTGATTTTATTCATATGTGAGCACCTTGAGCGGATTCAAATTACTCATTTATCAATTTATGTTAATTGCTTGTGAGAAGATGCCCTGCTGGTCTTTATAGTTCTCTCAGACACTTTGTAATGATAATTAGACATGCTGCTGTACGGATTAACAGTGCCATAGTCCAATGACGTCTACAGACAATGGAACCAGTTAATCCATCTGTGCTTAAAATTACATCCCAACTGGAGATGGGGGGAAAAAAAATAGGAGTGAGGGAGGATTAAAAGAATGAGCCTCAGCTTGAAAACTCTCCTTTCATCAGTTTCTCAATTGCAGATCTGCAGTCGGTTTGCCTGTGGTAAGCTATTGGCAGTCAATTAGGTGAAATAAACTGGGAGGGTGACCTTCATTTCCTTTTAATAGCTTTTCCTCCCTGAAATGGGGAGCTTCAGTGGATTTTCAGCTTAAATTTTATTCAAGCTGCTTTATTACACTTGACAGATTAGCTTTGCATAAACATTCCCACCCCCCCCCC